AGAAATCAGAACAAAAACAACTTTGTTACATGAGAAATAAAAATACCTGCGCAAATGAAAATCAATGTTAAATCATAAATTACATGCAGGGCAATTTAAAGTGTGTATTGGAAGAGAAGTGGTGTGGCATTAGGAAGCAGTTCGTCAAGTCGGTTGCTAAAATGTAGGGTTTGATTGTTCTCCGCTGGTGTCTGCTTGGTTTTTTTTTCCCACAGAAAAATTGATTTCGTCTTGCACACAAACAATCAAAATCAAATCTGACACTACGTTCCATTCAGGTCCCTCATGAAAAACAGTCTTGGGGCTTAGCGAGACTCTCGCTGGTAAATAAAGAAATGACATTTATGGGGGAAGAATGCAAGAATCGTTTGTCAATTTTTTGTTGTACCGCATAGCTTCAATAAACAAGACATTTGACTCGAAATAATTGGCATTGAAGCCCTCTAGGTGGCTTACTCTGAGCACTTGGCCATGGTAGAGGCGAGACCACATCAATTTTTAACCTGGTAGGATCGTACACAAGCAGAACGAGTCTGTACAGCGATGGGTCTTCCCTGTGCTTGAATTATTTATTTCCAATTGGCTGTTTGTGGATAAACATCTGTGTTCGCGCTGAAGGCAACCAGTGGAGGTGTGAAATGTCCACGGGCATTATTCCTAATGCAGCGTTAGATGTCATTGTCAACAAATGTAAATAATTAACAATAGATGGAACGGAATGGACAACCAAAACGTTTGAGAACGAGATATTAAACCCACAAATGTCTCAAAAACATGGTCGTGTATTGAGTTTGGTTTCTAACTTGTGCTACGAAAAAAAATCTATATTATTTGAATGAAGGAGTTATTGTGTGTCGGTCAATAATGTGACCAAACTTGGAAGAAAATGTATACTTGGAAGATTGCTCTGTTAAACTGTCACATACAATGCATCCATGACATGTGGATGAAATGTGTAGTTTATTCACATGCAGAGCAAGTACAATTGAAAAAAAAGACAGAACAGAGTGCGCTGTCAGTCCTGTCTTACATTGAGTCAATGGGTTGCGGCTCTTCAGACTGACACGTTAGTATTTTGCCTCCTCTTTGGAATAAGAGGGGGAGTGGTGGTGCCATTGTTAGCACACTGTGCTATGAACCTGGCAAACTGAGTTTTATTCACCAACCCGCATTGACCAGCGTGATGAAGAACGGTCAAACTCCCATGATTGACATGCTACGGGGGAGGGCCTTTTATTCAGCAATGGATTGACAAAGCACTGAAAATAACTTTTTTAAATATTTCACCTGAGAATATGTCCTGAGCCTGTGAAGTGTTTTGCTCAGATTATATCATCTGAATAAAAGGTAGTCTGTCATAGGAATATGGAATTTTAGTAACAGGTCACCAATGTAAAAAAATGACAGAAGCTGTTCTTCCTGATTCAGTAGTTCCACAGCTGGATTGTTTTTGCCACCTGAGGACGACCGCTTGTATTGCGATCGAAACGTCGTGATATATTATTTTCATTTTATTTAATTTTTCTACCTACGTGACTTTACCGAAAGAACCAAAGAGTGTGGATTCCTGCAGTCACGAAAGCTTTAAATCAAGATTGAGCATTGTTGTGCATGTGTTTGAGCATGGAAATATTGGCAAGGCTTCACACAGGACCCATGAAGATGCATATATATTTAATGTATATATGTGGACCTTTTTTCGCACCGTACATTACCAATCGTGATAATCAGAGATGTGGGGAGGAATTAGAGAAATTATTTCAAAATTAAACTACTATATAAATGCAAACTCTGCAATTAAAATCTAAACCGCCCTAACAGTGCTAAAATACCCAAATGCCAAACGTCTATCAAGTAAGACGAATGCACATAATACATTATAAACTCATACTCTTTTAAAATATTTCCCCATTATAAATATAGAAAATAAAAATTGAGTGGTATATGGTAGAGGTACGAACTACAAACTGAAAAGTTTGAGAGTATTTTTTTTATACTTGTTTATATGAGATAATCAATAATTGAGCAGAGACCAGACAATCAACACCTATCTCAATTGAGGGCTTTCTGGCAGCCACTCGATGCAATCTTCATTTCTCCTCTCTGCCCCAGAGCTCAAAAAACAAGCTCTTCTAGGTGATGGCTTACTACCCTGACATGGGAATTATCCCCATGAGCAACCTAACTTCCTCCCAAGTGGAACATTCTTAAACTCTTGGCAAATCACACTGCCTCCTTAAAATGTAATCGAAACGCCGAGAAAAGCGGAATGGATGCCGTGTGCATTTTGGTGTTCAGATTCCACTGTTGGTGCCACCTAGTGTTTGATCAATGGCCAGCTGTCCATCGTTATGTGTTACGAATTACGGTAATATGAGATCCAATGTAGAATAAAATAATACACTAACCAATCAATTTCCCTTTGCTGTAACCAACCATACCTAATACGTTTTCTTTGATGCATGACTGTGCAATATCAAAGTGCTGTATAAGAAAGTCATTGGACACATTTTACTGAAAAAAAAATGTCATGTTTTCTGAAATTCAAGTCTAAAAAATTTCGCCCATAAAAATAGAGCCTAACAGCTTACTGGACCCCTTCCTGCTGAAAATCAATAAAAGCTATACAATACAAAGCGACGGAATATAAATGAGCAAAATTCCCGTTTAACGTACGTCCCATGCATGGTTACAATTTCGGTGGCTGGCGGTAACCATTTATGGAGGTAATTTGGCAGGCTTAGCGATGGGCCAACTCCAATCGTGAACCAAACATTTCACGGCCTTTGCCAACTTTAACATGGAGGGTTGGCGCATTTCATGGTGGATATCAATACAGATCGCGCATGCACAGGCCCCATTTTGACACTCCACTGCTGGATGAGGAGCTCCCAGCGCCGTGCGGATCGTGGTGGTAATTTGGCCCCACACTTCGGGTTTTTGAAGGCGAGGATGAGGCAGAGAGAGGCGTCGTGGACAAATGGATTTTGGTGCACTGCCATCTGCCGGCAGTGTAGCAACTGAAGCGGCGATGGGTCAATCGACTGTAAGTAGTGTCGTCTTTTCTCGTTGGTTCTTTCGGTAAAGTCACGTAGGTATACAATAAAATAACGCTTGTGTTGCGCCAGAAACGTCGTGATTTCTTTTATTTTTCTACCTACGTGACTTTACCGAAAGAACCAAAGAGTATGGATTCCATTTTTATTTAAACCAGAGCATGGATTCCTGCAAACACGAAAGCCTCAAATCAAGATAGTGTCGTCCTCTGAATAAATGCAACTTCTAACAACACTGTCTTTGTTCGGGTTATGTGACGGGGTACGTGGAATACGGTGTTGGGACTTTAGGTGTTATCGGCTGCGGGGGGGGGGGTAGGTTGTGTGCAGCGACATCCATTGTACAGCGTGCTCCAGATGTCTCGTGGCCCCCATTTAATTATCTAAAACTTAATGTTTTCTAAGGTTTGTACTGGTAGGAACCTCCTGGTTACACCAGCCCACAAGGGATTATTGTGTCCGTCCGTCCGTAGTGCAGGGAGGGGCTGGGTGGGGAGGGGCTGGGTAGGGAGGGGAGGGTGGGGAGGGGCTGGGTGGGGATGTTGGGGCTTGGTGGGGAGGGGAGGGTGGGGAGGGGCTGGGTGGGGAGGGTGGGGCTGGGTGGGGGGTGGGAGGGGTGGGGCTGGGTGGGGAGGGGCTGGTCACCCCGTGGTGCCCTTATAAAACTCAACGTGTAACCTACTCACGCCGGCTTGTGCCCGCCCTCACAGTCGGGCATATTTGCGGAATACACCACGCCGCCGTTGACCCTGCAGGCCATTGACCGAGCAACCCAACGTTCCTACCAGCTCCCTCCGCAGGAATGTGTTTTCAGCCATAAATGAACATGCAAAGGGGGGGGAGGGAACGTAGGGGTCAATGAAATTAGGGGTCACGACATCTGGACCACCCTGTACTGTTTGATCCTTCGCCTCTGACCAGCGTGATGAAGTATGGGGCCCCCCATAAATGACGTCACGCACCTGGGGGGGGGGGGGGTCAGACATTTGTGACGAAAAAATGCGCAACTTTAAATAAATTTAGAATTGTTATAACACTAATTGTTATAACACCACTCCTACAACAAGAGTGCAGCGCCACATTAAATACGCACTACAATGACAATAGTTTAAAGCGATTTGAAGCATGTTTTATTTTCAAAATGGAAATATGGTTTTGTGGGGGGGGGGGGGGCAGAGCTTTGTGACGTCACATTTGAGGGGGGGGGGTGTGACTTTTGTGACGCTGTATGACGAGGGGGGGGGGGTCAAACATCGTCAAAAATCGCGTGACGTCATTTATGGACGGCCCCGATGGTCAAATCACCCCCATGGGTGTGCGTGCGGTGTTTCGCATAAGGACAATTTTTATACTTGTATTTATCTATTTTTATTATAAAGTAAATTAATTAACTTTTATTAAATGTTTTTATTTTATTTATTACATTTTATTATAAAAGTCAATTAATTTCCTTTATAATTTTTTTATTAATTTTATTATTTTTTTTAACTTACGTGACTTTACCGAAGGAACCAAAGAGTATGGATCCTTGCAGTCACGAAAAAAACATCAAATCTAGAAGGAGCCTTTTTTGCCCGAAACGTACGCCAGCTGTATATTGTCTTTCCCTCGTAAGGACCACCGCGTATTGACGAACGCGCTTGAGTTCGAGCGGCAATTGTAGATGTGTTTTGTTCTTTTCATCCAGCAGCGGATCGAACAAAAAAAAAACGTGGACAACGGAACTCGCCAAACCTCTCGGCACCAAACCGACAAAGACACCGGCGCGGTGACGTCATCAACGCGTCGCAACTCAACGCCGCCATCTTTGTAGGGGAAGAATGCATCACCGCGCGCTTGCCTCGCCGCCGACGTCACCGCCACCGACTCCCCCCCCCCCCTCCATCAACCGTTGATTCCTTCCCTACGCAAGATGTCGCCGCCGTTTCGCACGCGCTTGAGAGGCTGTTGGTGGTGGTTGGTGGGTGATGACGCGCTACGCATTTGCCTCGGCGGCTGCGTCGTCGTTTCGCCAATTCGCGTTTTTTGTTGCGTGTCTCGCTTCGTTTCGCCGTCACTTCGGTCCGCCAACAACGTCCGCCGTTGAGGCGTAAGGCAAGGCCCACACCCTCCTCTCCCCGCCGTGGCTTGAACGTCCCGGGGCCGCGTCGCGGGAACGTGGAGTTTGCGCCGAGTTCACGCGCAGTCGCGGTTGCAATCGGCAGTGTTTTGATGGCGATGCGGGTAGGGCTGTGTAAACACGCCAATATCCCACCCATAATATGGAGTATATAATAAGCGATAAACCCACTCCCCCCCGTCAAAACACTCTATATTAGCGCTCTGTAAGCATGTCGTGAAGCCACTTGTCAGGGATGTTCTTGTACAAGTTTTATTCGGTCTAATTTTGTTGAAGATTCGAGCGCCAATTGTGGGTGTTGCAGTTCTTGGCAGCTGCTGGTGCTGCTGCTTTGTTGTATTCGGAGTTTGCATTAAACGTTTGCGCCACGGGATTTTGAATGTGCAGTTATACTGGTAGGAACGAAGTGGACCAGACCACCAATAGATTAATGTGTCCGTCCGTCCGTGGGAGGGGTGGTGTTGAGGGTGGTGTTGGAAATGAAAGACTACGAGTCTTTAAATCTCACAGCGTTTCTTGTCAAAACAAACACTTTTAATTAACGTTACACTAGAATACAGTAATTTTTTCTTTAACTCCTCTATACCCGGTCGATATCTCTGTACCGGTACTAAGCATTATTCCTACCAGCCCACCCCGCAGGGTCCTTGTTCTTGATAATCTCTCGCTCCCTCCACGGTGGCTTGGGGCGTTTTAGAAACTGGGATATGTGATCCTGGGATGTGTGCTCCGGGGAGGATGGGGGGCGGGGTGTGTGTGTGTATGTCAACAAACACCCGTATTTATTTGCCTTTTAAAACAACAATAACAACAACAAACAGCACCATCACTCAATCCTAAAGAACTGGATGGAAAATATTCTCTACCTTTGTGAAAATGGAAGCCACAGGCAAGACCGGTTAGATAAAAACATCACCTCGGTGCACTTGCCTGGGTCACAACATAAAAGTGTCCCATTGAGGACGCATTCGGTGGTAGGTTGATCACCTTTGATTGGCACTAATCAGCTTATCCGTAGACAAAGTGGTACTGTTAACATCATGTAGATGTACAGATATTTTGTGTCAATCCACTTCTGGATGAGGGCTTGCCCACACCATGCAGTTTGTTGTGGGGGTTATTTGGCCTTTTTTTTGGTCAGTGTGCGATGAAGGTGGAAGACAAGAGACGTGGGTGTATATAAGTACAGTACAACAATGCATATTGCCGTACAATCCTGTGCTGCCCATAATGCAGCTTCCTGGCTGCCTATAACACATGTTTTATGCATGGTGGTGGCCCATACAAGCACTTACCCAGGCTTAGCCGTGCTTAGCTTCCAAGATCTGAAAAATCACAACATTGTGTAACGTCACGCGTGATTGTGTCATTTCTGCCGTGCAGATCAGCGGCATGCCCTGCTGGCCCGTGCGGCGGTGGAGCTAAGATGTCCGAGGCGCCCACGGAGTTGCCGGACTGCGTGGTGCTGAAGGTCTTCTCGCATCTCAAGCTTGGGGAGCTGGTGGCGGTCAGCGCCGTTTGCCGACAGTGGTTCTTCGTGTCCCGCGATGAGTTCCTGTGGAAGGACTTGTTCTACCACCACTTTGGCATCAACCGCTCGGTTCCGCGCATGCCCGGTTAGACGTCACATTTATGTCAGTTTCTCTTTCTGTGTGCGTATTTATCGACAAAAAAAAGTTGGCGCAGTAGGGGGTACAAGCTGGTGCATCTATCAGTCATCTCAATCAGCCAACCCATGGCATCTGGATCTGTCCCGAGACCTCCTGTCGGCGAACCTTGGACACTTCACGTGGCCTCAAAGTGCACCTGGCCTGGCACAGGCAACGTGGCGACGTCACCGTCACTTGGTGGCGAACGGCGGGTATTGGTTTATCTACACGCACGGATGGTAGTGTAGCAGTTGGCGCGCTGCGCTACGATCCTGGCCAGCCGAGTTTGATTCCCGCTCATGGCCAACAAGTGACGAATATCTGAACCGGTCCTGGGCCTCCCCGAGGTCGACTTGGCCTCAAATGGGTACCTGGTGCGGTGTGTAAGCATCTCCACTATGGAGACAAACGCGGCCGGGCTTGGTGCTGGCCACCCCTCATGTGCCGTGCTGGCCTTAATAGGTGCTCGCTAACAGCATTTGTCCCAATAGTCTGTCAAGGCTATGCGGGGGTCTTTGTCTTAATTTATCGACACGCACAGACACAGTCGATTCCAGACTAGTATTGTAAGGCTTCCACACCAAGTTATGTGCATTAATGGAGCACGCAGTTCACTAGGCATGCCATGATTTCTAACTGTGTAACAAACAATGTTAACAAAAAAGTGTTTTTTTTTGTTCCTGGGTAGTAAGTGTTATTTTCCAATTGCTTATGCCTCAAAAGTACAGAAAATGTCTATTATTCCCCCACAAACTTTGCTTTTGTGACCAGGACCATGATATTTTGAAATGTACCTATTTTCAATGAGAAAACGTGTGAAGTTGTGTCATTCTTTCACGTAAAGTCCTGGTCACAAAAGCAAAGTTTGTGGGGAATAATAGCCATGTTCTATACTTTTGATGCATAAGCAATAAGAAAATAACACTACCCAGGAACTAAAAATCGTGTTACATAGTGAATTATTGATTCAATGCTTTAATGTAGATCCAATAAAGCTATAGCAACGTGCAGCAAATCAAGGGTGAAACATTACAAACTTTATTAAAAAATTATGCGAATGTTTTCTTCAGGATGAAGGGTGTACCAGGGGGAAGCTGTCATTAGCATACTTTTTATTATTTATTTGGTCAAGATAATGATGTAATCATGGCCAAAAACGTTGATGCCGTTGATGCTAATTACAGCCCATTGTCAATTATTTTTTTTAAAATGAAGTATCTCGCATCGTGTCAGTAATGGGGATTGTTTGACCATACTTCACCACACTGGGTTTTGTGGTTTGGTCAAGAGGAATGGGATCCCAGGACCGGTTCTTATATCACTTACCACTGATGTCAGCCTTGGCTGGGAATCGTACTCAGGTCACCAGGTTCATAGCGCAGTGCGCAATCCACTGCGCCACCACTCCACCCCTGTGTTTATTCTTGTATTTAATATCACAAGTGCACGTAGTTGGTAAGTAATGGAAGGGTTAACAATGCAGCATGCAGTTAAGCACACTGCATGTATGTGGTATGCATTTAAGTAGAGTTAACTGCATATTATTTTCCATAACCACAATATCCAGTTTGGCCTTAAAGAAAATTACGTCTCTCACGATGGATTTTAAGAATACTTTTGCATAGACTATACGGGCAGTAGTGTAGCCTAGAGTTTAAAATGCCCAGTTATGAGTCTAGTAATTGCCAATTCATATCCAAGCTGAGCTCCATGATATTACATTTCACAAATTGAATCTAAGCATTATACCCTCCACAATCATGCCAATGCATAAAATATACTACGATTTTGCTCACAACAATAGGGCCTTTTAGTTGAGGCCAAATTTATAGAATTACCCGCAATTACTAAATTACCTAAATTGGTCTCTTCCTCAATCTCTCTTGAGTTCTGCAGAGCTGGAAGGAATTTCTCTGAACAGACTTGGCACTCGGGATTATGATTACAGTTATGATGTAATTCATTATTATTTTTAAAACTCTAATGTAAATACCACCGCTAAACGCCGAATTACTGTCGCATTGATCGGTGCATGGTTTCGTCTGTGCTGGTTTGACACTCGATGGCCGTGCGTGTTTACCAGGTGTCTCCTCGTGGCTGCTGGAGTTTCGGCGTCTCACCGACGCGGTCCCCTGCGTGGAGGTGGCAGTGCTCAAGGAGCACAAGGACCAGGTGCTGCACGTCGCCTTCTCGCACAATGGGTTCATGTTTGCCTCCTGCTCAAAGGACTGCACCATCAAGGTACTGACTGTGCTGCCCCAGCCGCTATGATACACCGCTGAACGTCGCTGCGAATGTGTTGTTTTATACACGTGCAGCCACTTTTGTGAATCCACCGCTGGATGAGAGCCTCCCCACGTTGTGTTGGGTCTTGAGGGTTATTTTACCACACTTCACCATGCTGGTCTTTGTGGGTCGGTTCAAGTTTATTTTGTTTAGCCCGCTGGGAACTCAAGAGACCAGGATAGTCACATTTGCCAGTGTCCTTGGTCATCAGAATTACAAAGCAAAATAAAATAAAGTACAACAATGAAGCAATTATTCTTGGTTCTTTCGGTAAAGTCACGTAGAAGGTAAATAAAATAATAAAAAGAAAACAATTAAATTCTCACGACGTTTCGATTGCAACACAAGCAATCATCATCAGGTGTGAAAACCACACCCAGAAAATGTTCTTGCTGTGGTTTCTTGCTGTGGTTTTCACACCTAATGATGATTGCTTGTGTTGCAATCGAAACGTCGTGAGAATTTTATTGTTTTATTTTTATTACTTTATTATTTCCCTTCTACGTGACTTTACCGAAAGAACAAAGAATATGAATCCCTGCAGTCACGAAAGCTTTAAATCGAAATTTAATGAACCAACTATAAACTGAATGAAAAACAGAGTCACGTGAGAATTTGAAACTGGTTTTAGGCTCACTTAAAATTTCGACCTATTCAGGTATGTATACACGTATTCAGGTTTATCCAAGAAAAGTCTCACTTGAGTCGCAAGACTTTTTAAAAATATTTCAGGGCACCCTACCCCTAAATCAGCTGCATAGTATTGAGGATGTACTATATTATGGGTGGCAGAGTGGCACAGTAGTAACACTTGTTCCACACAGCAAGAAGGGCCTGGGTCCGATTTCCGACTCATGGAGTTTATATTTCCGCCCGCCATCCTGCATGTTATCGTCACAACAATCGCTAAAGGGCACGTCCCCATGACCCGGCCTCTCCGGCCTGTGTTGCCGTCACGCAGGTGTGGAGCAATGACGTGGAGGTGTCGGTGCTATACAGCGAGAGCATGCGGCAGTACAACTGGAAGCACACGCAGTTCTCACAGTTCAACGAGGACGACTCGCTGTTGCTCGTGTCGGGCGTGCACGTTGGCCCGCACAATGCCTCGTCTGGAGAGATCGCCGTCTTCAACCTCGGTAGGGCGTGCTTACGACACTGTGCCGTGTAAGAATATAATGTCAATCGCTGCTCTATCACTTCTACTACCATGGTTACTGTTTCCGTGAAATTCACTCGGTTGATTCCTCCACTCGGGTCGAGGACTCGGTCTACCAGGCTGACTCTTTTCATCCATAACTGCCCTGCCGCGCGATGCTCTGCCCTGCTGTGTCACACTGAAGCTGCCTTGCCGTGCAATGCTGAGCTGTATTTTGCTGTCAAGCTCTGCCATGCCTTGCTGCGTCTCATTGAGCTGTTCCTTGCCGAGTCGTGCTCTGCCATTCCCTGCTGTGTCTCATTGAGCTGTGCCTTGCTGTGTCGCCTCCTGCCGTGCCATACAGACGACTTCTCACTGCTGTCGCGCGTGAGGAATAAGCCATACACAGTGTTCGGCTGCTGGCTCAACGAGACACACCTCATCTCCGGCACCGTGCACTGGATGGGAAACCTCACGTCCTGTTCCGTGCTCTGGCTCAACAAGGCCTTCCAGGCATGAAATAATTATTATCATCACAATAATTATGATCATTGTTCCTGCTATTGCATACATTTGTTTGATTTCCTTTTCTTTAGGCAACGTGTTAAACGTGACTTTCGTTTTGTTGGATGAAGGCCTCCACACATCGTGTCGATCACGGGGGTCAGTTGATTATACTTCACGCTTGCCAGTGCGGGTTGGTAAAGCGGTGGAAGGTGCCCAGGGCCGGTTCATTGATCACCGATGTTCGCCGTGGCCGTGAATCGAACTCGGCTCGCTGGGTTCGTAGTGCAGTCCGCTAACCACTGGGCCGCCTCTCCAGCCAACATTGACACTAATGCTTTACAAGCGCCAGCTTGAGTGAGCAAGGTTGTTGTCCACCCACCTTGGTCGTCTGGCAGGACATCGAGTCGGAGACGTTCAACGTGGTGCGGAGGCTCTTCAAGTTCCAGAATCTGAACGCGAGCACGGTGCGCGCTGTGATGGTCGCCGACCCGGGCCGTCGTGTCCGTGCCGACTGCAGCACCGACGACGACCCCGAGCTACAGGTTAGAGCTTCCTCCTCCCTGCCTCCTTCCTCCCACCTCACAAAACAAGTGGTGGCCTAAATGCGACGGCAACTCAGGGCGCTGTACAGAAACGGTGGGCATGTTTAAATCTTGATTTAAAGCTTTCGTGGCTGCAGGGATTCATATTCTTCATTCTTTTCGGTAAAGTCACGTAGAAGGGAAATAATAAAATAATATTAATATGAAACAATATCACGTAGAAGGGAAATAATAAAATAATTATAATATTAAACAATATTGTTGACTTTACCGAAAGAATCAAGAATATGGTGGGCATGTTTCTTTTGTGGAGGGAAGCAACCAGTCATTGGCAGAAGAAAGAGAAAGGTTTTGAGGCTGGACTTGAACAATGGCAAGGAGTTGACAGTGTGGATGACTGGTGGAGGGGAGTTGCAGACTGTGGGCAACCTTCCTCTGAGTGAAGGTTGACTGGTGGCTTCAACAAAAATTCTTGGTTGATGGAGAGGAGAGTGTGTGGAGGGGATTAGAGTGAGATGAGAGGGGAGAAGCTGGCAGGGGTCAGTTCACTCTCATGCTCCCATAATCAACTCTCACCACATCCCCTCCTTATCATTCACTATTGTCCCCCGCTCCCTAATTCATGCACACCCTTCCTTCTCATGCACTCATCCCTCCCTCTTAAATATTTTCTTCTGTAAAGATGGTCAGAGACTCATAACTTTACTGACATAATCATGATGGTAATTATTGTGCAAAGGTTGCATGAACACCTTATATACCTCATTAAGTGCCAGTGCTTAAAACTGCTGTCTCTGCTTTGCCCCTCGCCCTGAAGTCCGTGTGGCTGCCTGGATGTCACCCCCTAATGGAGACAGACCCCAGCCACACACCGGACTCTGAAGGTGCAACACCACTGCACATGACAAACAGGCATTGCACCACAATCCTCCCGATTAAGCCAATAGGATCGGTGTGAAATTGGATTTTTGTTTATAGTAAGGTACATGACTAACAGGATAACTCAAAACTTAATTAAAACTCTTGGGAAGGGAAAGAAGAATAACCCAATCTGGCTGAAGAGGGAAATAGTGTCACGTGATATATCTATTGTCACCCCGAGGTCAGAATTCTACGGAAGCTAAAGCGCTATCTCACAGTGACACGAATGGAACCTCTGTCAAGTGTCTCGTATTTGTCGCACGCAGGAGCGGAGGACGAGGCGGACGAGGCAGCTCGGCCCGAGAGGGACGCCTGGGGAGCAGGCTGCAGGGATGACGCTGCGCTGGAGGCGATGGTGGCGCATTTGGTAATGGGAGATCAGCGGGTGCAGAGGGCAGCAGATGCCACTCACAGATCCGACTCCCCTGCCACCGCAGCTGCCGCTGCTTCTACGTCGGCGTCAGCGCCGGCATCGCTGCCGCCAGCGTCGGCATCGTCCTCCACGCAGCCGAGTAGCCAGTCGAGCAGCGGCGCCACGTCCGATGCTGACGACAGCTGCCCCCAGAAATACCTCATCTTCGTGAAAGGGGGGCTCACCTACACTCCGCACAAGATTGGTGAGTGAGTTAGCACAGGGCGAGAAGGCCGTAGCTGTGATCGTGATAGCAGCGGTGGTGGTGTTTTTTTTATTTGTATAATGTGTGTGTGTGTGTGATTGATGGGGTGTTTGGTGATTAGTACATTTGATGTTTCACATACATTGTCTGCAGTAGTTGTGTAGTCTGCAGTAGATTGCTCTGGCAATTGTGGTTAGCACATTTTCTTGTAATCCTAGCTCCCCGAGTGGGATTTCCGGTTATGGATAGACGTCATTGACTCGTGATATCAGAACCTATACTGGGGGCACAACCCCCCTTCACCAACCTGCATGGTGAAGTATGGTCTGACAACTTCCATGACAGGCACAGCATGGGGAGGCCATCATCCAGCAGTGGATTAACAAAGGAGCTGTACATTATTACATTATTCAACTTTACGGGGTTTTTGTGATTGTTCTATTTTAAATTGCTGACTTTGTAAGCCAGGTCATTAAAATATATAAATATACATTAGTCTCCCTGGGCTTTCACCTGGTCATAAGTAAAGCTGAATTTGTGTGTTTTTTAATATAATCGTGGTTATCTTGGCCCACTGTGACAGACATCTCTTGGCATCTGATTTTACCTTTCGTACCTGCGAAGGCATCAAGCGCATTGCCGCGGAGCAGATGTCGTGCGACTGCCCTGACGAGACGGGCCACGAGGAGTTCTTCGACTGCATCGACCACCTGATCGACGTGCGGGGGCATGTCGTGGGCATGGGTCTCTCTCCGGATCACAGGCACGATGGTTTCCTTCTAAACGAATGCGGCTGTGAGGTTGTCAGGTGATGCAGGGATCAGAGCGCTGAGCTGACACCGCTGAGCTCCTGGTTTTGAATCTAGGTAGCTGTCGGTGAATAAACCGGGCTCTCAAGGGTAGCGAGTTGACAGTTTCCGCCCAGTAGCCAATGACTAAATCCTCACTTAAATTCGGTTCTTCGATTAATTTATTTAAATTTCAGCTCAATTTATTTATTTAACTATCTTGTGACCAATATTGAATTTGAAGGCAGAGTGAGTTGGAAAGTGCTTCCCCTTACTGTACCACCCATATGTAATTTGAAAGGATCTCAGAGGGAGCTCTGGGATATCCGCTTCCGTTGGCTATTCTCTAACATGGAGGGTTACACTCAATGGCGGAGCCAGGATTTTCAGGTAGGGGGGGCAACCCCTCCAGCAATGAAAAATTATAGAGGAGTTTTTAGTAAGTAAGGACTTGTCCCTTGCTTTTTATTCGACACGTGTAAGGTGATAGCTCAGCCATCGATCGAGGGTCGAATATTTTTTTATGGTAGAATATAGTATTGTCATCAGTATGGCATAAGTATACCAAGTTTGCAGTCGATACCACATTGGGAAGTGGGTTAAAATTTTGTTACAAGATTTTAAGATACAACAACAACAGACAGAGTGAGTTAAATGAAAGCGTATAAAATAGTTTATTTACTCAATGGGCTTTACTCAGGAAGTAAACTTCTGATTCTGAAAAAATTACGTAAAAAGACAGTTGGTTCTGAAAGCACAGGACATCCCCTTGACATCAGCCACTGCAGTTGCATGATTCTTGGAGACACTGTTGGGAAAAAAAGCAGTTGTAGTTGAGCCACCAAATATTTCCCATCTGCCTGCTCGGCAGAGAGCGCCCGCCCTTGACCACCTTGCTCTGGGTGGACGTGCGCAGGCTGCTGTACGTGAGCTGCCGTGCGTGGCCAGAGGGCTGCATCATCAGCGACCCCCTCAACCCGCCGCCCATCGCGCAGGAGATGGAGCTGCGCGTGTACGAGCTGGGCACGGCGCGCGAGCTCAAGCGCACGCCGCGCGCCCAGCGGGCCTACACCCCCACCGACGAGTGCAGCTTCTTCCATCTGCACGTCAGCCGCCACTTCATCGCGAGGTCAGGCAGCGTTGCACGCCGGCGTCAAGCGTGGGGGCTTGCGAGCACCCCGACCGCACCGTCTCTTGTGACAAAGACACATGTTGAGGAATCCATGCCGTGTTCGGTCTTAATTGGAATATACATTCTTGATTTGAAGCTTTCGTGACTGCAGGAATCCATACTCTGGTTCTTTCGGTAAAGTCACGTAGGTATAAAATAAAATAAATCAAGACGTTTCGGGCGCAACACAGCGTCCGTCATCAGGTGGGACGGACGCTTGTGTTGTGCCCGAAACGTCGTGTTTATTTTATTTTATACCTACGTGACTTTACCGAAGAACCAAACAGTATGGAATATACATCGCGATCAATTTCCCCCTGCAATATCAACTTGGCAGGACCCTCTTGAATTGGAGTCGTGAGAATCAGTGAGGCTCTCCTGGGTAAAGAAACATAATAATCACCGAGAGTCCAAACACTTCTAATGTTTGCTTGTTACTTCCCACTGCTCAAACTAGAATTCTCTTCCATCGTCTCTTTTTCCAAGCTCAGGGGTAAACAAGTGTAATAATACTGCAATTGCACCTGACTATTTTCTGAATTCCTGGTAGACAAAATCAGACGCATGACTAGTAGCCACAACAATAGCGGCAGATTTACTGTACATATTTTTCTGGGTCACTGACCTGGTCCGACCCGATTGAAATTGACTCATGACCGTCCGTCCTTATCGGCTAAACGAGAGCGCCTGGGACGTTTGTCTGTGTGCATTGACTCCTGCAGCGGCTCAGAGGATCACAACGGCTACATCTGGGACCGGCACTACAGCGTGCGGCTGGCGCGCCTGCCGCACGACGACTGCGTGAACTCGGTGGCGCTGAGCCCCGTGGAACAGGAGATGGCGGTGACGGCGAGCGCCGATCACACGCTCAAGGTGTGGCGCTCGGCCCGCGTGGCGCGCATCATGACGCAGACGCGCAAGCCACGCCGCACCACCTTTTCCTGGCTCAAGAGCTAGCCGGCAGGACGACCTCTCTCAGTCAGCCAGTTGGCCGGCCGGCACACCTTCACAACGCCTCGCTGTCTGTCGCCTGCCCTACTGTTTCGTTTCGATGTATCATTGCGTTTGATTGTCGCAATCTGAGATCGGTGCTCTGACGTGACCGATGAGATATCGCTGAGAGACAATCCAGCCCAAGTATCTGGGAGTCGGCAGTGCACGGTGTCTTTTTATTTGCCATGACGTGGCCAAATTTTGATTTAAAGCTTTCGTGACTGCAGGGATTCATGTTCTTGGTTCTTTCGGTAAAGTCACGTAGAAGGGAAATAATAAAATAATAAAAATATTAACCAATACACATTCTCACGACGTTTCGACTGCAACACAAGCAATCATCATCAGGTGTGAAATCCACAGTAAGAACATTTAAAACCACCACTTTTTTCAAATTTTCTTGCTGTGGATTTCACACCTGATGACGATTGCTCGTGTTGCAGTCGAAACGTCGTGAGAATTTTTATTGTTTTATATTTTTATTATGTTATTATTTCCCTTCTACGTGACTTTACCGAAAGAACCAAGAATATCTGACAAGGCCAGTGAAATTTCACACTAACTACAGGATCGTACCGCGATCAGGGCGGGGGTAGCGCATTCACTGTTTGTTGCATAAGTTTGAGTTTGAAGCCAGTCGCCCACCCTGGTTATTACTGCAGGTACGTTAAGCTTAAAATGTCGCAGTGTGTTGCATGGATCCTGTGACGTTATTTGAAACGAGTAGGCCATTGTGTGCTTGGCGTCATGGTAAAATTTTACATCTTCGAAAATAACTCTCAAATTACTTGATTGCGATTAGTCATATAGCAACCAAGCTACTGGTAAAACCAATGCCTGCTTGCAGGGCAGGCGCTGAGTTACCTCGTACTGTTCAGGGACAGCGTCGCTGGGGGTGCCCTTTCAAATGTTTGAGATGAGATACGCGATGCGAGTCGCTTATCGCTTGTTAAGCGCTCTCAGATGCCTCCGCACGAAGGACGCTGTTATCAAAAACGAATTATTGTTTAAAAACTTGAGCATGCGCCGTCCCTTAACTGGAAACCGCTTCGGGACACTGAGCAGCTTATGAACCCCCCTGTGTTTGTTCCCCGCGCTGCGCTCCTAAACATGACACTAATCCTCACCCTGTCTCCACCACCGTTGCCTAAAGGCTTCACCCGTCTCCTGCCATAGCCCCGTCACCAGCCAAACTTGTATCGTGTGTTCGTCATTCGAATGTGTGTTTACATGTTGAGCTGATTTGTGAGGTTTTTTTGTTTATTTTTTGTTTGGGGATGGGTTGGTCCGCAGGTGAGGTGTCGTGTTCCATGCGTCGCGTTACAAAACTATTTGCCAATTTGTGCCAATCGGTGAGCGAAGTTGCTGCACTGCATGTTGCCGGACGGTAATTGCTAATGTGCATGTGAGCACTTTGGAATACAATGCTGTCCGATTTTATACAAATTTTATACAAAGGATGCAAGCAAATCTTGACTAGCAATAAAAGATAGCTTGCCTTGCCAGATCATTAACATTATTATTTGCGTCAAATAATAATGTTTTGGTCACTGGGTGAATTCCAGTACAAATCTACGTCAGGCGAACGAGCGTACCACGCCAAGTATTATTGTTTCAGCTCTCACCTGCCAGTGAGTTTCAGAACAGTTCTCACAACCAAATATATCAATTAGATATGATATTTGGCCACTTGCCGTAGTTTCAAGATTAACGTGGTGAGTATTTGTTCTTCAATTCACCGGCTGAGCTGAAACCGTAATCATAGTTATACACGCTTGTAACCATGGCAGTCTTATTTGTCTAGCTATGTTGGCTGGTGGAGGGTTCTCATTGACACATATTTGGTAATATAATTGCGTGGCCTAACCCAAGAATCGTGAATCGCATTGTCCAGTTTACTCTTAACGCTATTGTGTCAATGTCAGCCAGCGCTTTTGTCAGTCCACGACTGGATGAGGGCCTCCCCATGCCTTGTGGGTTTCGGATTAACGGGGGCTATTTGATCATACTTCACCATGTCGGTACAGGTTGGTGAACGTAGAGCGTAGAAGTGGGGGCATATAAGGACAGTACAACAATGGTTTTGGCTCTAGATTAGAAGTTTTTGTGACTGCAAGAATCCATACTCTTTGGTTTTTTCGGTGAAGTCACGTTTTCATTTTATTTTATTTGTCACCTACGTGACTTTACCGCAAAAACCAAAGAGAATGGTTTTGGCTGTTTTGCCGTCTGCTGTCCACCGTGACCTGCTTCTGCATTGCAGTCGCCCACCCAAGCACTCAGCAGGCTCAGGGCTGCTTAGCTTCCCAGATCTGAGATTTTGGGCACATGATGGGTGATTCAGTCATAGGGCTTTTTTTGGTGAAGTGCTGTACAATGAAAATTATATATTTGATAGGACATGACAAAGTAAGTGTTGTTCCAAAATGATGTATCTCACTGCTGAGCATGAAAATGTGTACGTTACTTTAACATTTTAAGTGTATGCAATTCAAAATGCACTGATTCATAAAGATGAGCTTTATTTAACAAATTTACTCCAATCGTAAGCAGCACGAATCAGGAAGCTACTGTGAAAATTATACATCATCATTAAAGAGAACAAAACAATGAAAAAGTTACTCAACTTTTAAGAATTGCAATGGGGTACTTTGTATTAAAATTCATTGTACAAATGAAAAATGGGTGTGAGTCTTCAGATACGTCCGGTGCTCTGATATCATGTAAGCTAAAGGCCCACGCCTCTATAGAACTAGAAATGTCTCTACGCTTTATTGTGTGCGCATGGGACTGCCTTAATGCGGCCTGCCCCGTTTGGGTTTAAACGTTGCCGGGTTCCGCAGTTCGTGCTTCTTGCCAATCAAGATGAAGACGCCATCGTGGCCAAAGTGATCGATGCCACCGCACCTTGCCAACGGAGCGGTGACGTGCCCAGCGGGAACACGTTCCCCGCCCCGCTCCTTGCGGGTTCGAATCCGGAAGGCCGCCCTGATTATTGTTGTGGGTGTAATAACCGTAAAATACTCGCGACCTGCTCGACACAGCAAACGTTAAAGATCCTGCGACGTTCTAAACGAGCAGGTCATCGTGTGCCGTTGCCGTTACGGGTTTATGTTTTATTCTCAACCCAATCGAAATGGCTGGGTTGTAAATGGAGTTAATGTGATGCATCTTTGGTTTATAAGTGCATGTCTGGCATTTACTTCAAGTAACAATTTATAGAGGCTACTTCGTGGAACATGTGCTCCATCTATTGCTAATTTATTTCACAGGACCTCTGTTTACAGGTCGCTGCTTCATTTTCCGTGAGTGACAAACCTGTCTTGCCTAAGGATGCCGTTCTTCCCAAATAAAATACATGGATTCGCCATCAACTTTAAGTGCCAGAGTCTTGTCTTTTTAGTTATAAAAGATGAGTTTGTATTACAGTTATGATGTGCTGGTCTGTGTCTTGCATGCTGGCGATGTCTCGAGTCTGTGGATTTTAATGGCACACAGGTGTTGTGCTGATGAATGTCTTGGCTGGGAAGGTGACACGCTGGTAGTTTTTACCGTGAATCTTGAGCGAATTTCTTTGCGTTGGCTTTCTCGAGAAACGTGTAACGTATAATCACGCAACGTGCCTGTGGGAGCAATGTTATATTGTATGTTCGGGGCATTCCTCACCTCCATTGAGGGCACTAGGCCAGTGATGAAAATTCTATTTTTATGTGACAGTGACCAGTATATCCATATGACAACCACTATGAACTAGAGACACTTTTATTTGGATCGTCAAAGGACGAGGGCTTAGTTGATTCCAGATGGGTGTTTGAACTCACAGCTGTCCAGATCTTAGTAAAGCTCTCTTTTGCGTGCACGTATGGCAACATGCAAAGCATGATGCTGCAAAGGGACTTTTAATTGTATTAAAATATTTTGACAACCAATGTTCATCCCTTTTGTTCGTCCGGGTCTCGATGAAGGCCTGTCATTGCACTTAGTTCATGTGAGTTGTTCCGCCATACTTCACCAAACTGGTCAGTATGGATTTCGATTTGAAGCTTTCGTCACTGCAGGCATTCATCTTCTTGGTTCTTTTGGTAAAGTCACGTAGAAGGGAAATAATAAAATAATAAAAATAAAATTAAATAAAATTCTCACGACGTTTCGGCCACAACACAAGCAGTCGTCCTCATTCGGACGCTGTCTTTCCGACAGCCCTGTTCTTCACCTGAGGACGGCTGCTTGCATTGTGGCCGAAACGTCGTGAGAATTGTATTTTATTATGTTTTATTGTTATTCTTTTATTATTTCCCTTCTACGTGGCTTTACGGAAAGAACCAAGAAGATGGTCAGTATGGATTGGTGAAGGACAGGAGAGACGGCCCAAGACGAGTCAACATTTAACTTGCTACTTCCACTTCGTCGTGTCTCCTGTCCGACCTACATACGAGTCTTTTCCCCAATATTCTGCACAGGACACCGCTTCTGTTATGGGCATTGGCAAATCTTGAGTGCATTGTGGGTGATTGCAAGGCATCTCAGGAGATATGATCCACGGGTTTCTTCTCCTGACAAGCACATTGGTCGGTTGTGTAAAAGTTCCCCCCCCCCCCCCCCCCAATGTATTTCATGATAGAATTGCATCTGCCTAAACCCACCTTCAGTCTATTTAGGCTTTGCCATGTGAGCCATTTGGAATTGGAGCCAGATGCGAGCTGCTCATTGGGGGTGATTCCTCGGCCGGCTACTGATGTTAGCGGTGACTGGGTAGCACACTAAGGTCAATGAGTTCATAGCGCAGTGTGCTAACCAATGCGTCACCGCCTGCCTGTAGTTGTATTATAGATTCATAATGCTGTATATTGGCTGGGTAGCAATGGTCAGCGGCACTCCACGAAATCCATGGCTATGAGTAGCGAATTACACCTCCCCAGATCACAAATTTGCACTGACCAGCATGGCCAAGTATGGTTAAACAACCCCCGTCACCAACACGATGCGGCGAGACCTTCATCCAGCAGTGGATTGACAGAGGCATGTAAATATAAACTAAATCTACGAAGGAAGGACCAGCTTAATTGGAATATAATCTGACATCCTTTGTTCATTGTTTGGCGTTCGAAGCCATTCTGCATCACTTTCCATTAGTGGCAGTGGCCGCATTTTTTGACATCACGCGTCTCATCCCCTGGGGGCACTTTTCCCAAATCCTTCCCTTAAACCTTATGTTGGGTTGAGCGCCCCAGTGACAAAGCCCTGTGAAGCCGCGCAGTCGGCCCGCCTCCCCGCGGTAAGACCCCACCTCCGTTCTGCCCCCACACCCCCTCGACCTCCCGCGGGGCTCTTTAAAACTCAGAACTCCTTGTCAAGGAATGTGCTTCGGCTTTTTTTTTGTTCTGTCTCCGCTGCTGCTGCTCCTGGCAAACTCTTGCAGCAGACACAGCCGCGGCTGCTGTGCACTGAAAGCAGCAAGCAGCAGTAGCTCGGGATCAGCCTCTAATGCGTTCGTGCCGCGTCAATTCCTCCACCACTGGGGGTTTTAACTTGGGCTATTCGTTACTAGTGCACGGTCGTTCATTCAGATTCCATCGGCAGAAATTTATCGGTTTGTGTTCACATGCAGGGGAGACTTTCGATGGTCTTTAAGAAGACCCGAGGAATTCGCTGTCCCTAAGTTCCTCATCTCTCCGAAGGTCACTCGTTAACGCCGACATCATCATCTCAAAAAGCCCTTCTGTTCCCTGCAAGCAAACGCTGGCCGTGTCGACGCAGCGTGCACCCGTTGCTGTTCTTGCAAGCTGCGGGCTCCATCCCTGGACGGTGCTGAATGAAGTCAAATGAGAGGGTGCAAGGGACACCTCGCCTAACTCCTGCGAACTCCCGGCGCATGGCGGCTCTCAGGAGGAGCAGGACGATGGGGCTGACGTTTGTGGCCGGGTTGATGCCCTGCTCATCTGCGTCTTCGCGGCTCCCACTGCTGCCTCTGCTGCTGCTTCTGGCCTCCGCTGTTGGCCGGGGGAGCTCGGAAGCCGGCGGGCGGCCGGACGAAGGCGCCTCTACGCTGGCGTTTGTGTTCGACGTGACGGGGTCCATGTACGACGACTGGGTGCAGGTGATCGAGGGAGCTTCCCGCATCTTGGAGACGTCGCTCAGCCGCCCCGAGAAGACGCTCCACAACTTCGCTCTCGTACCCTTCCACGACCCGGGTGGGTGGAGGCGTTGCGCCGTGCAGCGAGCCCTCTGGGGGGGGGGGGCTCTTGCGCGGGTCTCAATCGGTTCTCACCTGCTTAAGGGGAATTCTTGATCATTATTTTATTTTTAAAGGCCGTTTACCCAGTGAAGCCTCGCTGAGTCTCGCGACTTGAAACTATTTTGAACTTTTTTTCAAATTTCATTTTAACAGGTAAGGCCCACTGAGATATATGGGCATGAAATTATAGCTCAACAAAGTGGCTTATCACGTGGAAATGTATCATAGCCAAATACTCTAAACGCGTGATGTTTCTAAATGTGAAGGGGTAAATCCGAGGACCCGGAGAAAAATCAACACGACCACGGGGAGAGAGACACGCAAACTCCAGTAGGTGGCGATGTTGCTGCTGTGTGTAATCCCTAATGGGTAATTTTTAAATCCTTTATATTAAGTTCGCTTGCTTGCTTGCTTGCGTGCCTGCTTGCTTACGACCGTGCAAATCTTTCGGTCGTTTTTTAACCCACTTCCCGTGATCCAATCGAGCTGACATTTTCCACACAGACTCGTTTTGTGTGACAAATAATTTTCGTGAAAAAAAAATTCCTAAATTTTACACTGTTTAGGGAAAACAAATTAAATATTTAATTACCAATTGCTTAATGGTGGCAGACAATCATCTGACCCATAGGTGGCAGCCATCTCAAGCCAGAGGACGAGAAGACTCTAGCCGCCACGCATATAAAGGATTTATAGTGAAAAACTTTGTTTTTACGGGTTTACTTGTTCATCATTTTTCTCTTGTTTTTGCTATGGGAAGAAAGCAGAGAACCCAGAGGAAGCCCGTGTTAGATATGGGGGCTTGTTTGACCGTACTTCACGAACCTGTTCGCAGCTCGGTGGCTAAGAGATAACAGCGTTCAGTGTGATGAGTGAATAGGAAAACATTGGGAAAATAGTAAAATGCCAAAGATTCCAGTATATAAGTTGAAACATACGCGTTATAGATGTTTAGTCTGTTCCTGACCGCTTTGCACGGCTGTAGTCCAGCACTGGAGGTCAGGGTTGGTGGTTCACGCGAGTTTGTGGAACTCCCCCCCCCCCGTGCGTGTCGAGGTCAGGATCTCCCGGCTCTTGCCAGGGTATGGTGGCAGTAGAGCACGTGCCCCTTCACCCGGGGTGCACGCACCCCCTGGGAATGCGAGATGCTCTTTCTGGGGATAGCGAGACATGCGAGATTTTTTTTTTCAGAAGGTAAATCGTGGAAACACAAATGAAGCACGGACACGTAAGAAACAACTTAAGTTGTTTCATCAAACCCTACGTATGTATTAACATTATACGTTTTTTAACGATTAAACACCAAAGGGCTGTAGTCAAAGTTTAAGAACCACTGCAGCCGAGCAAGTGGGTACACGTTCCTTCGGAGTGGGCAGGTAGGAACTTGGTTGGACAGCGCATTCGTGCACGACAGACAAATATGCACGACAGACAAATAATCTCTGGTGGGCAGTGTGGAACCTGTTGTTCCTACCTGTGTACAAGATAACTTGACTTGAGGGAGCCAGGCAGCCAGCCAGGTAGCCAGCCCCCTTAACTATCGGCCCCTCCCCCTTGATTAGGCCCCTCCCCTGACCCTCCTCCCTTAGGCACCTCCCCTCTCCGTACCCGGCAGTAGGTCTCCACCAATCAAAGAGCTGTTTATATTATATATATATTTATGTACGACAGACAGTCAGACAGACAGACAAATAATCCCTGGTGGGCAGTGTGGAACCTGTTGTTCCTACCTGTATAATTTACATCCGTGGGGTGTTTCCATCCCACGGATGGGGAATCGAGCGTTGCTCCCTATCGCACGCGTGGGGTTTTCTCCGGGCGCTCCGGGTTCCTCCTCCCCACGTGTAGCACAAACAACGCTCATGGATGGGAGCTGGCCAAGCGGCCCCACGTGAGCGCCAACAGAGAGACCTTGGGGGCAAATTGCTGGCGCCGCTTCTGGCTTATTTTTCGTGCCGCGTGTTCGAGCGTGAACGATGATGTGCAATTTGCACGAACGATGCCGCTTATGTACAAGTGAGACGCCATCATTATATTCCTCATGTACGGTGTTCCAATTGTCTCTCTACTGGTTAAATAGCGAGAGAAATTAGTCTAACAACACTCGGATTGTGTAAGCGTATTATGAGTATTGTGATTATAATAATAATTACGTTTGTCCACCCAGCAAGGCGTCACTGAGTCTCAAGACTCTTTTTCAGGAGGGTCCTGTCCAGTTTCAGAATAGGGAGGTGCGATGTTGCTGCTCGGTGTCATCCCAGTTGAGTAACTTGCAGTGTTATTCTCAGCATTTGGGATGTTTGGCCAATGCGGGTGACAATGCACGTGTTTTTTTTTGTATAGCTATGGAACTAAACCAGATAACCCATGCAGAACAAGGGGGAGATCACACAAACGCCACACACACAAATACCCGAGTTGGGAATCAAACCCAGGCCCTTCTCAGCTGTGAGGCACCGACCTGAACCTCATAAATCACGTACGTGGAGGTTCATCTAAGCAGACGACGAGGGCCATTGGGATTCATCCTTTCTGGTAAAGGAATCTACGTCTGTATTTGGTGGCATCCACGCGCGCTGGAACTGCTGCGGAATAAGACACCACGCGCCGTGGCGTTCGTGTTAACTCTGCATGAGTGCCCGCTCAGCAGAATCCGATGCCCCCTACAAACCAGCTGGGAACACACGTCCCCTACGACAAACGGCGACTGCCAGACTCGGGCGCCTTTCTGTGTGGAGTTTGTATGCTCTCGCCCCTGTTTGTGTGTGGCAGGGGGGGTTTCTCCACTTTCTCGGGGTTCTCTCTCTGTCATCAGTATTGGCCAAGCGTCGCAATATAGCAGGATCCTCCTGAACAACAGACATGGGTGAAGCAAGCGTCATGTAATACTGGTCGGTTCGACGGCAGACCTCGTTACTGCTTAAGTGGAGGGTGCAGGGAGCGTTGCACCTGTCCAGGTGTCCGTGCCTCGTACCTCGAGACAGCTCCCCCCCTCCTCCTTCTCCCCCCTCCCCACCAGCCGTGCCGGTTTTGTTCGGGGTGACGAGTTATTGCAGCTGCTTGTGGCGTTCACATGCGGGGAGGAACCGCTGCTCTCTGTGTTGTGGCTTTGAGATTTGAAAAAACCCAAAAACAAATTCGAGGCCCCGCGATGATCCTTCCTTCCCCACAGACAGCCCAAGCGTGGCACCCTTAGAGGCCCGTCTACACCACGGGTCACCCCCGGCCCTATTAGGAGGTTGTGCAGGATTGCCTGCCACGGCGATGGCGCCTCGCTGTTGTACGAACCTCGTTGTCCTCGTGACCAGTCAACTGGTCACATTTTCTTGTGGCCAGGAAACCTCTTCTATTGCTACGAACATGTTTACTGGTTCTATAAACTTCAGTCATTGATTCCTGCACCAATGTTGAGGATTCAGTCTACCAGACTGGCTGTTTAAGTCTCATACACGCTGAGTTCAATCACCACCACCACCCACACTTGCAGATGATAACACTCATACATCCACTCACACACTCACGTACTCTCTCACCAACCCACTCACTCACCCACTCACTCACCCGCACACTAACTCACCCACACACTCACTCACTTACTCACCCACTCACTCACTCACTCACCCACCCACACACTCACTAACTCACCCGCACACTAACTCACTCACACACTCACCCACCCACACACTCACTCATTCACCCACACACTCACTCACCCACTCACTCACCCACCCACTCACTCACCCACACACTCACTCACCCACCCACCCATACACTCACTCATTCACCCACACACTCACTCACCCACTCACTCACCCACCCACTCACTCACCCACCCACTCACTCACCCACACACTCACCCACCCACTCACTCACCCACCCACTCACTCACCCACACACTCACCCACCCACTCACTCACCCACTCACTCACCCACTCACTCACTCACTCACTCACTCACTCACCCACCCACTCACTCACCCACACACTCACCCACCCACTCACTCACCCACTCACTCACCCACTCACTCACTCACTCACCCACCCACTCACTCACCCACTCACTCACCCACTCACTCACTCACTCACCCACCCACTCATTCACCCACACACTCACCCACCCACTCACTCACCCACTCACTCACCCACTCACTCACTCACCCACTCACCCACTCACTCACTCACCACACTGCAGGCCGCCTCACTTCTCTGTCTGCCTCTTACCTCGCACCGCTCGATTTCTGAATTCTCTGCCATCTCCTCTTTTCCCAAACACTTACAGTTCAAGAAACGTGTCGACTCTTATCAATTATATGAAAAACAAGGAGAGGGTTTATCCTTTCTGGCAATAAAACAGGTGTCAACATGTCTAGACACCAAATAGAAACCTTTTGCAAGGAATCGTAGCAATTATACCTTCGGTATTGCTGTATCTTAATCGTTATTTCCATCAAAATCGAACCTGTTTCTGTGTATTAGGAATTAGCTCCACGTTTTGGGTTTTAATCAAAAAACATTTGAAGTTCAAATAAATATAATTCCGTTCTTGTTATTTCCTTCTTATCCTTCTACTGGAGTGTATTTTTCTAACATGGGACCGTGGGAGGTGGTGTCCGATTAGAGAGGCCTTTCACCCAGCCGTCGATTAATCGTGGCCGTTTAATGATGACGGACGAGGATTGTATTTCGTTGAAGATTCAGCGGCTCCGACCCAGCTGAGATTCGATCTCGTGGCCTGCTCGCATTGCGGCATCCAGCTGGTTGGGCCACGGCGCTCCTAATTTTATTGAGAGATGTTTGTCATTCCACTCGTAACATGAGAACGAAACGTGGCGCGGCTGCGAGCGCGGTGCCAAAGAGCTGACCTGGAGAGTGGGAAAAAAGCATTTAATGGAGACGACCAACAGCTTGACCGTGTGCTGCGTCAATGCCATCTGCGAGTAGCGCAGCAATGGACACC